TTGACCAAAATCTAAGAATCATAATTAGGTGAGGTTGTTTATGGGAGGGAGCTCAGTATTTGAAGGTACAGAACCTACCGGCTTCAGTCCACTAAACACTGCATAAATTTTATCAGATAAGCTCCTTCTGCATAGTAAATCATGAGAGTGAAATGAATCCAGAAGAAATAATCCCAAGACATACAGTAAGAACCAGATTAATTGTAAATTAAAGAAATTAAAAATGGTCGAAGCAGAGGTTCTATTTTGTTTTAAAACATCTTATTTCGTCTCCAAATAGAGTTTGCTTATAAGTTTAATAAGGAATACTTTCTGAAGTTTGTAACTCATGCAAGAACTCTTGAGGCCGAGATAAAACAGACAGGCATTTTTGCCATGTGCTCACATTGTTTGCTTTGTATATATCCTGCTTGTGACAAAATTTCCAGTATTCAGTTCTCTTTACAGCTTTTTCTGAGTCATCAATTAAAAAAAAAAAAAAACAAAAACAAAATCACACATAGACATTGGCATTCCTGTGTCTAATTTATGTAAAAAGCAAAATACCATTAAACATATCTACTAGACTCTATTTTATAAAAATCTATGATCATAGATTTAGCCTTGAGATGACTCAGGAAAAAAAAGAATATTTCTCTACATTTCACCTAAATCTGGAAGAAACAGTTTAGGAAATTAAAGGAATATCTAAGGCCGTGCATTTCACTTCCTATGCATTTCACTTCCTACGATCTTCCTCATCTACCGGGAAGATATACACATATATGTAAATTGCTGCCCATCACAATTCCCACTTATTTTACCTTCTTTCGATACATGCAAGCATAGAGCTTATGCAGTCATATCTCCTAATTTTCTTTCTTTATTGACTCTGACTTTTTTACTGCTTTTAGGAATAAGAAAGAAAGCAACTTTTTTTGGACCAAAGATCATCTATTCAGGGCTTAACATTGGGAAAGTGAGAGCAAGACTACAAACAGCTAAAACTGGGAATTTCCAGTTTAATGGAAAATTCTGGTATTTTGATTATTCTGAATCAGAACAAACTATTTCAAAATTTCCCACAAAGCAGAAATTAAAAAAAAAAAACACTTAAAAAATGCTTTCAGAAATGTTGAAACACATTTTGTTTGAGCTTTTTAGTTTTGTTTATTTAATATTACTTCTCATATTTTGTATTTTTGTATCACATTCATAACCATACCTCATTTCATGCCACTTAATTAATGAGTAATTGCCATAATATATTATCATTTTAAAAAATTTAAGTGTTTAAATTGTGAACAAATATATCCAGTAGCTGATGTATATCTCACTTGAGTAGGAAAATAAGTTCAGTATTTGGCTTTGTATCATTTTTAGCAGCATTTGTTTCTGAAACTGGAAATAATATGGAGATATTCAAATTGTATTAATATTAATTATTAATATGGAGATATTCAAAATAGTAGCTACTTTAATTTGTACTACAAATTAAAATTACACAGTACTTTATTACATCAGAGCATTTTCACCATACTCTCTGCATGCTAGTTGCAAGCAGTAAAGCCCTTGCCGCCTTTTGATCTCAGCAAAGCTATTATTCTTACTCTACAAAATGTGAAATACTCAGTAATTTCAGTTTACAAGTCCGTGGATTAATTCTGACCTGTTACTAACATCGATTCTTTCTACCACTACTGCCTACAAGCAGTAATTCTGGACTGAGCTTCTCACACATCCATCCTGCTCTTGAAACACTTATGCTTTTCTTCATCAGCGAATGCGAAAGGTTTCAATTTACATGACCCTCTAAAATTCAGTCATGAAGCTCGCACTTTCCCTGCTCGCCCAAGTGAGAAACTGTTTTTCATGGCACTGCTCTCTCCTTAGTGTCTCTTCAACACTGGCAATGTAATGACAGCTCAGATTGCGTGCCCTCATCCTTCCCACCACATTTGTTACTTGGATTTCATCTAGCGACAACACTACTTAGGTCACCATGAAAAAAGGTGTTTGAGGGGTTTTTTTTTAAAAAACAAATGAATTAGTAAGATGATTTTGTTCTTGACTTCTCAACTTTTAACTTGAAAGGAATTTTCCATGATATACCTAACTAATCACTAACTTCAACACAAATTTCATATAAATAAGATACACCCCTTCACCACTTTCTTCAAAGACAATCTTGTCTCTGCTATTTTCACATAATGAAAAACAGCTGTTCACCAGCCACCATGTTTATTGTCTTCTTCCATGCTTTATCCCACCATGCTCTCCACCCTATCACCCTCTCAGGTGATATCTATTATAGTGGTTCTATCTTTGTTCCAGAAAACTTGTAATCCCAATGGAAAAAATGAAAAACAGCTACAAATAACTGAATATAGGTAAGAGTGATCTAATACAGAAGAATGCAAGAGGCATGCACACTGGTTAACTTACTGTAGTTCAGACTTTTTCAGGCATTGTGACAATGCTTCTACCCTTTTAAAAAGGATTTAAGGAGGGACAATATATTAATTTGGATAAATGATTATTTCTAGTTTTGCTATCTTCTATAAAATGGAGTTGTCCCTGGAAAAATTGACATAGGAACTCTATAGCTTCTAAGCATGTTAGTGATGTCATACGGATATTAAAGTGTAAAAGATGAGGATCAGGACACATAAATTCCTAAATACCTTGTTACATCTCTCACTCATTTAATATGTCTTTGTGGTTATTATATCACTGCAGGTCATATTTAAGAAGCCAAACAAAAATATATATGCTATATTCTTTTAATGTAGAATAACTATACACATTCCAATTAAATAATTTTTTTTGACCTGGACATCTTTTTGAGTATTTTGATGACTACCATAAATTCTGTAAACAGGTGCATTTTATTCAAGGGAATGTATGTAACTGCATAAGCACTTTAAAACAAGAACCAAAAGAAATAAGTGAAGTATATCAGAACCTCAGGCTGGTGAGGTGCATTGAGGAAAAGTGTTCAGAATGGCAAACACGATTATCAGTTGTTTAGAGACACTGTGATTCTCTGGTTACCCAGAAAGCCAAAAGTTGCGTCTTCTACTGCATCCTGCTCTCATGCCAAGAAAGGCCTGCTGAAACCTAGGAGAAAGCAAGCAGTGCAGAGAGAGAGAAGGGTTTGCAGCTCAGGCACTGGGGGAGTGGTATTCCTTCTTTTATTCGGGAAGAAAAAGGCAGAAGTATGGTCACCCACCTGTAGTACAGTAAAAGCAAAAATAAAAATATTGTCAGACCTTTGTTAATTTGTCATCCCACATTCTTCTGCAAGACTTGTGAAATAAGTGATACATGTACTATAGGTAGCATCAGGCTTTATCAAGCTATGTGTAGAATGGTGCCACTATGCAGTGACCTCTGAAATGCAGAGGGAAGAATAAAACAGACCAGAATACTAAAATATAGCATCTGCAGTACAAATGTGTATTAGAATACTTGAACTATTAGTATTACCTGAACTAAGCAAACTTACCTCAAAGCCCCCTGTGATTCTGCCTTTATGTTACATTAAAAGAAATCCCTTTCTAAGATTAATCAGCTTAGCTAACCATACAGTGTTTAAAACTGCACAGAGCAGAGTATTAGCCATTCATAGAGGATACAAATAACTAAATGTGTCCTTTCTGCCTGGCAAGCACCGTATAGTTCAAGGTGGATCTGAAAACTGAGAAGAGATCTGGGCCAACATGATCTCAATTGTTATTTTCAATAATAAAGTACAGCTAGCACCTCAGCATGCAACTCTCAGTTGAGTGGAAGCAAACAGGGACAAAATGCAATGTTCTGAAACAGCTTTTATGGAAATCATGCACTGTTTGTGACATGTATTTGGTCTCTGGAGATGCATTCTTGTTTAGTCCTCTACTTTTAAATGCCATCTTACAAATCCAAAGGGTAACAAGTACAAACTGTATCTATAAAACAACATCACAACTTTATTCTCAATAGCTAAGTATTGAAATGCAAGCATACATTATAAATAGAAAAACAGCTGGCTTGGAGCACATTGCAAGCCACTAACACAGTTGAGGGATTTGAATGACATCATAACCCGTGAGAGCATGTTGCTGGCCAGCTGGTGTTATTTATAATATACTCATAATTGAGGAAAAATAAAAAAGGCAAAACTTAGGTATTGCAGAACTAATAAAGTTGAATTCTCTCTTTCCCAGTGTCAAGTAAATTGTTATCAAGAGTAATTTGAAGATTACTACTCAAAAGGGGGGAAATCACATTGTAATTACAACAGCAGATTTAAAATATACACATCATAGAAGCCCCCCAAACTGGGCTACTTGTGCTACTATATTTATAGTACTGTAAATTCTAGGAAATTATACGATTTCCCCTGTGTGGTTGCTGAAAGATCACAAAGCTATTTTGCCCTATTTACAAGTAGCGCTTAACAATTTTGTTATTTTTAGTAAATTACAAACTGCTATTTTAGGGTTAATCACACAGAGAGCTGGAGGTTTTAATTGTTACTCAGCATATAGGCATGCCAAGTTTAATAACGTAAAGACGCATTAAGAAAAACATAGATAACTGACTGCCTGCTTTTCTGTACTATATAAATAAAATACCTATGCCTCTATGCAAAAATAAAATGTGTGTATATACACAAAGGTATGCATATATACAAACATTGCCCCTAGGCATATAAGTTTTTATGTATTTGAAATGCAGACACACACACACATAAATACAAATGCACACACAGCTATCTGAAAGTTAACTAGAATACATCTTCTTATTTTTCATGGCAGCACAAGCTCTTTTTGTCTGCTAACCCCTCAGTCACTAATTCATATTTTTTTAAAGGGAAAAAAATATGCTTCTGTGCTCTAGTTTTAAAATGCAAAGGTATGATGTTATTTGTCACCATGCCCAAAAAAGTCCTTACTCGGTAACTTTGCCAGAAGAGGGAGAGAGAGAGAAGGCAAATGCTCCCCCAGCTGTTTCCTGTCTACAGTGTCTGTGTAATGTAGATAAATGTGAGGATTTTCTCTAAATCCCTCTTCTGTTTGCTAAATCTCACTGTCACTGCTAAAATCAGAGCAGATAGAGCCTGCGCAATGGAATAAAGTCCTCAATATTGAAATGTGACATTGCTCTCAACATCTCACATCTCTCTGGATTTCTTTTTTCTCATCATTACTGCTAACAAATTCATTTCCAGACTTTGCACTTTTAAGAAGCAATGGAAAAAATCAACAGTCTTTCAACACAATTAGTTAAGTGCTGCTTGTGTGATTTCTTGAAGGTAAATCTTTATTACTATTTCAAATAATTTTTTAGTTTTATTTTGCTGTGTATTGTCTGCTTCTGGTTTGAAGAGTATTGTGCACTTTTCAATAACATTATTTTAGAACTGAGAATTATTTATAAATTGCTGAACATGCAATTTTATGTGATCTGGAAAATGGCTGTATGTAATAGTTGCAATTACATAGATGACTGTAAGGGTAAAGTATTGCATATACATGTCTTAAATTTCACTTCTATTCAGAGAACTTTGTAATATTTCAGTTATGTCATTATTAAAAGGTCCAATTACATCATTGTCTATATTGTTAATGAATGCTTCTGAAAACAAGAACTTTTAGCTATTTTCTGCAGGTGCAGGGTTTTATAGGAAAAAAGGTATTATTCAAATGTTAAGTTTCTGCAGTTTTATTATACACAATTACAGAGAAAAATGTTCATGCTTTCACAAGGAAACTTTCAAGGGATGTTGTCACTGCAGCAATTTTCTGGCAGCATCGTAGCATTTGCTTGTTTTTTGCTTTCATAAATTAAAAGTAAATGAGAAGTTCAGTTTGTTTTCTACATTAGAAACCAGCTGCGACTCTTGCTGACCTTGCATATTTGTACAGCTTAAGCAATTGTACATAAAGAAAATGGAAATTCCCTTACATGTTCATCTCCAAGTTCTCCCTTCTAGGGAGGGCTGTTTCAGGAAAGTTTGCATGTGAAGTTTCATGTTATGACCCTATAATTTCTGCACAATAATATAAACTGTCTTAGGTAAATTTGACTTCAGTAGGTGCATTGACCTCTGTTTCTGTCAATTGGCTCCAGTTCAACTTTCCATTATCAGCAAATTTACATCCGTCAAGAACTTTTTGTTTTTAATATTTTGCAAGGAGATTTATGCAGTTGAAAGAATTATCCTGTTTTAATTGTTTAAGGCCTAATTATTTTTTTACAATGTCTTACACTTAAAACACACTTATCTCATTCCTTAATGACCTAATTACAGGTCTGTAATTGTAATGGATGAAATCATTCCCTTAATGTATGAGGGGGCATCCCTTCCAATATACTTGAAAGATGAAGTTTTTTTTTTTAAAGTATTGAGCAAGGCACTAAGAGACATAAAAGTAATGTGCTAGTTCCTCAGCTGTGCATCCTGCCAAGCTTCCTTGGAATCAATGGAACATATTGATTTAGGTTAGCATGTAGCCCAGATTCTTTACTCATAGTTAACAATATTTAAACCTTGATCCGCTCTAGAGTATATAGGCTTTATTTATATAATAATTACTAGTGAATACTGTTATTGCATAATAATTACATATTTCTACTATGGTTTGATAATCAGGCCCACCCTCTCTGTAGTAAAATGTAATTTTGAGTATATATCTTTTGATTTCTTTCTATAGAATATACTGTCCATAAATATGTTGCCCCACTCCAGGTATTTATAATTATTGCAGATGTTCTTACATGTTACTAAAATGACTGAGTATGTGAAGAATTCTTATGCACAACTTTTGTCAACTGATAGTTTTTTAGGCAAAGAGGACTTACATAGAAGAATTAAGAAGTAAATGAGATGTAGAGTGTTCATATATGACATTCCTTTGTGGTGCCACTCTTCTGGACTGTTAAAAGAGGAATGCAGCAAAAGCTGGCTATTTTACTGAAAAAAAAAGGAAATTCCAGCTGTGAAAATATGGTCATTCTATGCAACTAAAAGAAGTGCTTAACCAGGCTCATCTTGAACCTGTATTCAATTTCCTAATGTAATTAGATGCTTCAATAAACCCCACCCACATGGCAAAGCTTTTTCTTTTAAGCTCTCAACTTTCTAGTCAAATTGGGGATAATGTAAGTATTCTGCTTGATTGTAGAGAACCTGAAGCAATATTGGATTACAACTTTGTATTTTCTCAAGAATATTCCTCTCAGACATAAAGTGGAACTTTGATTTTATCACAAACATATTGAATCAATTAATGTTGTGTTTAATTAAAATGATGAAGTAAAGTTAAAGTTTTAAACTATGTTTTGGAAGTAGTTTTAATGAAACAGTACTTAATTTATCAAATAATTGATTTAACCCTAGAAACATGTGAGTCTGTTTTCTTTTCTGCAAAGTTTTTACGTGTTTGAAAGTTCTTGACTGTTGTTAAATTTGGAGATAAAGTTAGAAATTCTCTGTGGTTTATACTGTGCAGCCTTTTTGGCTTCCACTAAAGGAAAAACAGTAGATAATCTGTTTTGTCGTAGTTCAGTGCTGATATTTATCTGAAAATGCAAGCCAGCTGAGAAGTCTTGAAAAATAAAAAATTGTTAAATGTCTAAAATTTATGTTTATTTCTGGACCAAATGTTATACGAGAACAAATTGCTAAATACATAATGTTCTTGTATTTGTAATGTCTTTCAGCTTTCTGAGGCAGTGTGCTAAACAGCTTTCTGCTTTACCTCCTCAGAACTGGGAACCATCTTAAACTGCAGGTGCATCACATTTATCTTATAAATTCAAAAACATGGCAAAGGAAAAAAGAAATTGTTGCTGTTAAGATATGGAATCATTACAGGAAATAATGCCTCATTACCATCATTCATTTATAATCTAATCTTTTTCCATCTGCCATTGCAGTCATGTCTGTGGATTCAAGCTTGTTGGGTTTTGCATGGCAAAGTTGGCTAAAGACTCTTGTGAATGGGAAAATATTTATTCATTCTTTTTTATAATACATCATGGGATTTAGATTTGTTCATTATTGTCATAGTGGAAATAGGGGACTCATCTAGCAAGGTACTAAGATCCCTTGCCAAGCAAATAAGAATTCTTAAAAGTTATTGACTAGAGAAGACTCAATACCCCACTGGATCAGATCCCAATTGATCAGACAATAGACAATTTCATCAGTTTTTCAAAAGTTCAGTGAAGAAATAAGATTAAATGGTCCCTGAAACCCTGAAAGAAACTTCAGGGAAGATTAATCATTTTACTTCAATTACTTTGTACTAGTTTGCTAATACAAAGCAGTTTTAAGCCAATTTTAACTGTATGTGGAAGACAGATTTGTAACTTCTTACCTGACTGCAATACTGATGTTAACCTTGAAAGAGAATGAAATTAAATTCAGATTTACACCTTTTGAAACTAGCATTTTTGGCAAGCGATCTAAGTAAGTTCAGAGTATGCATTAAGCACATTCTTCAGTGTCCTGCTACTACAGGTAAATAGCTCTTTCTAATATTAAAAAAAAACCAACAAACAAACCCATCTTCTTTGATATGTTGGGTAAGATCTTTGGACATAAATTGATACTAAAGGAAGTGGATAAATGGAATGGTGCAAGTTTACACTAATTGAGGATTGGCCTTTCTTCAATCATAAGTACAGAAAAAAGATAGTTTATAACCAAATGCAAATGAGAAAAGAATTATCATCTCTGTGTATACCTCATAGCCACTCCTGACTAAGAGGATATAATGGACGTCAATGAAGCATGGCTGCATTTCTCAAATGCTTCCAGATATTTGCCTGTTAGTAACAGGAGACTGTAAGAGTCACTGGTTGTGGTTCTCTACTATGGAAGGTCCCACATCAATTCCAGTAACACTGGCAAGCTGTACCTTGAAACTTTTTTTGGTTTGTCCTGGTATTTTCCTTTTTAAGGTAGCTGGAGAATCATGGAGTCCTAATAAAGAACTCTCTTCCTATTAGACCAAATCTCTTTCCATTCAGTTTACAGCCATTTATTCCTGTGCCAGTGCTGGCTTTTAGTTTAAATAGTTCTTCTCCATCATATGCCACCCCCATTTCCCACAGTACATTGGCAGGCAAATTTCATATTCCCTCAGCTTATCTGTCTAAGACAAACCAATTCGAAGTTCTCTTCCTTACTTCTATCATTCCAGGCTTCCCTTTGCCTGTCTATTGCACTCCCCCATATCCTCCTCTTGCAGGAGCAACCATAAATTGTAGTCACTACAGGGTTCCCTAACTTACATGTGAATGTGAACCAAGAATGTTCACCAGAAGACATATTCAGTTCACAAAATACATGGACTGGAATATGTAGACCATTACAAAATTATGATGAGACATTTCCTGATAGTACAGTTATTGTCCAAGAAATTATAGTACATATTCATGCTCAGCTCACGAGGGTGCAGGAGTTATTTTCTTTAAGACTCTGTTGGGAAATTCTGACACTGCTTTTGCTTCCTTGGCAGGTGAAGATGCACACTGTGTCCTACACCCATTTCTTCTACCTTGGGCTGTGTTTGCTTACCTTAACCAGTTCTGTTGCTGCTGGCCCAGAAACACTCTGTGGTGCTGAGCTGGTTGATGCTCTTCAGTTCGTGTGTGGAGACAGAGGCTTTTACTTCAGTAAGTCAACCTTTTCTTTCATTCAACTGCTAAACTTTTCCATGTAATCCATTGGAGTCTTCTCCTCCTCTAAATGGGCTTAGCTATGATCACCGAGGCTGCCGACTATGACTAGTATCCTTTATCTCAGAGACACTCAAGACTTCAATTACCATGAAGTCTCAGTAAAGAATAAATTTTTGCCTGTGTTCAACCTCTCTGAGTTTCTGATGAATTTTGCTTTTCAGACTTCTTATTGCTTTTAACCACTTTCCAGCTGCTGCTATTCCACCTGCTATATTACTGTTTTCCACTGACCTGTCACTGAAATTAAATGAATGAAAGCACACACTAGACCCAAGACATTCTTGAGGCAGAGGTGCATGTACCTGTTATGTCAGACTACTAGTAAACAGTTTAAATACACATTGTATCATATTAAAAACACATTAGCTTCAACATCTGGTTTGAAAAAAAACAAAAGTTGGACGGCAGCAAGCAGAAAGTTACCACGTCCAAGGATCCACATGCTTCATCAGTTAAATACAGGTGGAGGAAAATTCATGCATGGTGAGATAATAAAGACTAACACCAGTACAGGCAACAGATAAAATTAACTCTGCGATAGTGTGGATCAAGAAATATTCACCTTGTAAGTAATAGAAATCTATTTCTGATTTTCAGCTATTTGCTACTCAAATAACAAAGTTAATGAAACTTTTAGCTAGGAATATACATTCATTCTGAATGCATTCATTAACATACTTGTTCAAAACATCCTAGAATTTTTGTTCTTATAGCCTCTGAAGCTAGCATTTACTTTTAATAACAGTATGTGCTTCTCTGATGTTCTTTTCTGAGGTTATCCATCCTTCGTGTCTAGTAAGCTATCATTTTTGGGTTTTTGACCATACCCACCCTATTCCTATTAATTTCTATTCATGGAGTTATTGCTTTCAATATTTACTCCTTGCTTGCAATAAAAGCAGAAGTTCAGATTCTTGCACTTCTAAATTATAAAAAATCCTAATTTCCTCAACATATAAATTGTAGACATTTTCACATTTTCACTATCTTCTTAGTACATTCTATTATAGTTCACTTTTGAAACTGGGCACCTTGGTTTTGTATATGCAAAATAATTCACTATTCACAAAAGGACCTTTCTTTTCTGTATTTAACACTTTAGTCATTGTTAATGAGCATCTATTCTAGGCTGCTGTTGAACTTAGTATTCTGGTGCTAAGCACAATATTGAAACTACTGGAATCTCTCATAAAGGAACTTACATTTTTTTACCAACTCTTTAGGTGTTCACTTATACATCAGAATTTGTTATATTTATCAGCAGCTCCGTTACACTTAAGGGGTTATTTGAGTGTCCTACAAATACTTTATGGCTGGAATGAATGTAAAGGAAGACTGACACCTCCCTCTCCTGTTTCTGCACCAGAAAACAATGAGATATATACTACATCCTTTGAAGATTATAGCATTTTTTCTTTTACTGTGTATGTATCTTAGATGTTTCTCTCCCACCAAAGTCTTTGCTGCTTGTTCAGAGAGCTATCATTCTTGTTTACCACTAGAGTAGCTGTTACTGCCAAGCTGTCAGACCTACTGTTATGTGTACTTTGTGTTCCTCAAGGTAAGAGGTTATGTGAAATGCCAACCATTAGCAATAAATCTCTTTGTTTTCAATCTCGGTCATTCTAAGGTTTCACAATCTGTTTCAAATCTCTATCCTAAGCTAAGTCATCCTTACTTTAAAATACCTGAATGGGTTTCCAAAGTTTCAAAGGAGATCATTACTCTCACAATCTTGATTTTTTTTATCTGCTGTCAGTTAAGACTTTCTCTTAAGTTTTCTCTGGTTTTTTTTTCACATTCTGAGTTTCCACTTGAAGTAATGTAACTTGACACCATAAATGTTGACCTTGTTTTATATAGAAAAGTGTGGAAGATTTTACTTATGAATGACCACTTTTAGGAAAGTCTTGCAAAGTTGTAATCAACATACTGCAGTTGCATCATTCAATAGGAATTTTATGAAGCTGATATGTATGTGGCCCCTTGGATGCTAAGTAATGTGTCCTCTACCTGAATACTTCTGATTCACAAGGAAGCAATTTAGTCTGTTTTAGCCTTCTCCTTAAATCTAAAACACAGAACTGGAAAAAGTAAGCCCAGTAACACTGGTAAAGCAAATAGCAAATGTACTACCAAAGCTAGTGAATATTTTTCTTTTGTTGTAAAGAGTATGTCAATTAAAGTAGTATTTCAAGCCTTCCTTTCTCATATTCTGGTTCCTTTAAATAAAGTATAATCAATGGTAGTGTTTGCCTTTAACTTGCACAGGAAATAGCTGTGAGGGAAGCTTTTTCTTCCATCATTCTGTATTTCACTAGAGACTCCAAATATAAAGAATACCTTTTGGCTGAGGTGCAACTCCTGGTTCAGATTCAAGGTCAAAGATTCTGACTATTCCTTGGGAGCTGTGGGTGGAAATGAAGATAGAAATAACTGTATTACTTTCTGTTGAAATTCTGTACTTCGCAACCACAAGGCTATATCTATGGTTAGGACTGGAACACAAAAATTTCCTTTATATAGTCTACTTTGCCCAACTTTCTAGCTATAAAAGGAAACTCTTTTCAGCTTCTCAGGAGATGCCCCAGCTGCTTACCACACACAAAGGAAAGTATTGACTTCAAGAGGAAGTAAAATGTGGTTTCTACCACTCTTTCTTCATGAGATAGACTGTCAAGAAGCATTTTTAAAGTTTTTTTTCGGGGAGAACACTGCAGAACTCCCAAAATAGAAAATTTGCTTTTTTCCTTGGTCACACTTAATTCCAACAGGCAGTGGCTGCTCCTCAGAGAGCTTTTTTTTCTCCCATGATTCACCAGAGAAAAGCAGTTTGTCGCCACCTTTTATCTAGGAACATCTCTCTAGGAGAATTTCTGCCGCTGAAGTTCCTGTGTGCTAGGTTTTGTTGGGAGAAGCCAACAGAGAGCCTGGCCACTGCTACACAAGTAGCTACACTTAAACACAGCTTTTCTCAATTAATGCTTCTCTAGTCTCAAAACCTCTGGATTCAACAGTCATGAAGCAAAGTGGGATGGCTTCATCATTCACTTGAATATTAATGTCTAGGAAGGTCTACCATGATACACTTATTACAAAACAATGCTGAGAGCAGAGAATGTTGGAAAAACTAAAAGGACAAATAACAGGAAACTTACAGAAATTATAACCTAGAAGGGGATAAATTTTGCCTGAAATAGACTAGTCTTATCACAGGAATTTACTTCTTAGATTAGTCAAAAAATTATTTATTTGTACGTGTTGAATTTGCTGGACAATCATTTAATTCTTTCTCATACTCTTTCTTGAGGACTATTACTACCACAAGAAAGGAAAGCTTATGTAGTTTTCTCTACGGAGAAAATGCTATATTCTTTTTGATTTAGTTTCTTCTCCTTTGAAAATACACCTTTTCCAATAAATACATAGCAATCTGGCTAATAATACATATGAGTGCCAATAAAGAAACAGGTTTTTTATTTCCTTAGACATTTTCAGTCCTCTAACTTTTAAAGCCCAGTTAGATGGCAACATCTATTTGAAACCATGACAATCAACTTCATGAATTAAAACTCTATCTTTTTTCTGTTAAAAACACTGCTTTGGTCTTATGTTGAATCTTCTGAAGTATCACTTGCATAGAAAAGAAGGAGCAGAATTTAGATACCTGAGACAATGGATTTCCTCTGATATTCTTCAGAGAATGGAGAATGATCTAGCACATGCTTCCATATGGGAAACAGTGAATACCATAAAAGATGTTTTTTTCTGGTATCCAACTTAATGTTCCCTGTGTCAACTGCTTTGTGGAGAATTATTGCAGATTTTTTCTACATTTTTTGTCCAATAAGACAACCAAAATTGTGTGTTGTCCTTTGGAAAATCCCCAGCTGTGCATAATGTAAGACTATTAGTTTATAATTATCAGAAAATCAGAATAAGAACGTGAACATAATTTGGGTAATGAGAGCTGTCATCAGATCTCATTGCTTTGTAGAACTAAGGTGTATGTGGAGGAATTGCTGCCTTAGTAAAGAGGAAATAAGTGGTATAGCAATAGGCAATTACATTTTGCTTCTTCCATCTCCCTTTAGTTAAGAGCTTCTTGTTTACTTCAGAAAATCTGCTTTTAAGATGTTATTAAAGTTTCTAGGCCTGTCAAACCTATCAACATAATTACAAGAGATGGCATGGCACTCAGTTCTTTAAGTACTCCATACCTGTAGGAGCTATGAGTCATTAGCTCCTCTCTGCATCCCTGATTGAAAGGAGCATTAGTGTTAGAAGCCCAGCAGAGGCATGCTGAAAAGCTGCCATGGACACACACAGACTGTGGTGTCAGTGACAGTCTTACAAATCTTTGCAAAAAAGTGCTGGTCATCTTGGCTGTGTTCACACAGCAAGATCTAAGAGTGTTTTTAAGTTCCTTGGTCTGGCTGCATGCCCCATTCATGTCCAAATACTGCATCCATGGAAGATTTGGGTGTGTCAATCTTTACCCCCAGGTTTCTTACTTTCCTTATAGGAAAACTAACCTGGAAAGGAGCTCTAGCCAAGTCTGAAGAGTCAGTGCTCAGGGAACCAGAACTATAGGCACATTTACTAATACATACCTCTGTAAGAAAGACAGCTCTGTCCTCTGGAATGGTATCACTGTATAGCCAAATAGCTGACACATAAGTTTGATATGTGCTTTGTTGTTCCTAGTAGTAAACATTGAGGAAGTTCTCTGAAAATACGCCAGTCTTTGAAAGAATTTTCTTATTTTTTACAACATTAACAAAGGATAGGGAGTGTTCATAAAGTCTAACCCTAGTTTAGTGAGGTTAATCTTCTTAAGTTACCTCTTTAATAACAGAGAGAGAGGGTCTGCCTTCTTTCTCCATGGATCACACAGTGAGTCTAGGAGGATTTATCCTCTAAAACACACTAAA